CTAGGCGGGGACGGCCGACCGCCCGGCCCGCGCGGGGGGACGGTGATTCATCCAGCTCATCGCACCCGGAATCCGTCAGGTCGACTCGCCACACCGTGGACCAGGTGACAGGAGGACGTGGTGACGCAGCCCCCCCCCCCCCCCCCGGTGACGGTCCGCACACGTGACGTAGGCTCTGAGTAGTCCGACTACCGCACCGGCCGGCAGCTGAGTCATGCCGTCACCCGGGGGAGGAGGGGAGGGGGGATTCCTGGATTCTGGTCTGGTCAGGAGGTATGTTTTAATCGGTGGATATGGGTATGGGGGACAGAGGGAGGGAGGGAGGGAGGGAGGGAGGGAGAGAGAGAGAGAGAGAGAGAGAGAGAGAGAGAGAGAGAGAGAGAGAGAGAGAGAGAGAGAGAGAGAGAGAGAGAGAGAGAGAGAGAGAGAGAGAGAGAGAGAGAGAGAGAGAGAGAGAGAGAGAGAGAGAGAGAGAGAGAAGGGAAGAAACAACTAAGAAAGATGACATAAAACAAATAAGAACGATCTAGAAAGTTCCTTATTTCAGTGATAACACTTTGAAAACAATAATATAGTACCGTAAACACAGCACTTTCATTTCTCCCCTTTCATTTCCTGCTCGGTAAACTATAGCTTATCATATTTAATTTGAAGCTATTTCAGCGTCGTCTTAGCCAACCCAAAACATCTTCGCGAGGCCGCGGTCTCTAGCTTTCCGAAGTTCCCCGCGCTCCACCCTGGTGTAGCCCCTCCGGACTCCTCTGAGGCAGCCTGTATCTCCTCCCCGCGTTCCGTCTGAGCGGCTAGCCGGCCCGTTATGGCTCTCACGTGGTCCCGCTCCGTTGGCCACTCATGCTCGCCATCTGTCCCAGAACAGCAGGGAGGCGCTGCCGCGAGGGGCGTTTCTCTCAGATGTTTGAGCTTATCTCCTAAACTCGGCGACTGTAAATGCAAAATGGAAAGATATTAGGTGTTTTTAAGTGGAATTTCTACGCTCAGAGTGCGGTTTTATTGCATGGCTTCATATCCTGCGATGGTTGGCAGTTTCATTTCGTTCACGGTATATATGGAGATTCCGTAAAATAGTTAATTTATCGCCGCGATTCCTAATTTTATCACAACTTTGCTATGGCTCAGGGGCTAGATGAGAGTTTATGAAATTAGTGAAGTTTCATAAAATTCCACTAATTTCATAAGATGCGCAAGATTGATATTAGCACTCAACAGCCGTTGAATATGACTAATTTTTTGGCTTCATTAGGTATCCCCTACCTCACCCTACAAGCGCAAACGATTAACATTCATGATTCAAATCTAATAATCTATCACGACACTGGTGAAAGTCAGTCACTAACACCGACGTAACTAGAGCAGGCCAACACATCTGCCTTCTGTTTGTGAAACAGATGATCGAGGCATTCCTAACATCTGTCTGTCAGTCTTAGCATTCAGCGCTAGATTCGACCAACAGATGATCCGCCCATCTGTTGAGGAATAACCAGTGTTAGTTTCACCGTTTAAACAGGTGAGGGGAGAATAGAGCTAAGTAGGTTGGCTGCATAAATGATAAATGATTGATAAATGTATATGATCTCTATGATACTTCGAGCAATAGGGAACTCATTCCTATTTATTATGCAGTCTTGCATTTCATAGCAGTTCTAGTTTCAATCAACCTGCATATAACGTACCGCACGGATAATGTTGCCACTGTGCGCCCCTCCCTGCCAGTGTGTCGGGAGGTGAGTTCCACTGTGCGGTGTCCGGACAGATAGTCGCACATCCGGTGAGGGCCCGCGCCGGCACCGCCGGGGTCTCTGGAGTCTGGGACTATCTGCAGATAGTCCCAGACTCCAGAGACCCCGGCGCAGACGGGCCGGATTTTCTGCAGTCGGCTCCTTCCGGTACTGACCGCACCGCGGCGCCGGGACAGTGGCGCTGTCTCTGATGCTCAGCTGAGGGATACAGGGCATGGCTGGGAATGATAAAATTGTGAGACAATTTTACTAGAGTTATTTCTTAAACCTAAGTACAGCATAAATATATGATCACTGATCAGTGATGTTACTACCCTGGAAATTCCTTGGCAATTCCTAGGTATGCATAATACATATTTTGAAATGATGTATTTTTTTCTTAGTTTGGTAGGTAGCGTTTCGAAACATAGTTACGTTATTTATCCCATGATCTGAATCGACATTTCATAGATTTCCTCCTCATAAAGCACGATGACCAGCTAACTCATCGTCCGTATTTACGAAACACCGCACACATTTCTACAGCCGCCAAACTTGACACTGAGTTGACACTCATATCCAGCCATCGCATCGCTACAGCGCAGCGCTGCCGGTGACCAGTCTCTGCGTCTCCCTCCCCCCCTCTCCTCCCCCACTACCTACCAGCACACCTGGCGCTCCTCAGACAGGAAGGAGGTCGGACCACCAAGACCGGCGCGGCGGCGCGGACGGCTGGCGGACGGACGGACGGAAAGACGGACGGACGGACGGACGGACGGACGGACGGACAGACGGACGGACGGACGGACGGACGGACGGACGGACGGACGGACGAATGGATGGACGAATGGCCGAGTGAAGGGTGGGAGGTGGAAGAAACGCATCCGACCGTCTCAACTTCTGTACGTCCTGCCGCGCCGCTTCGACTCACAATACTTCACAGGTCGTGGTCGGCAGTCGGCACAGGTCCGGGAGTTATGAGGGGAGCTGGGAAAGGGAGGCGAAGGGCGATGGACTGGGCTGGGTGCTGACACGAGCAGAAGTTGATGCCAGGGGGATGACGATAAGTGCTGAATGCTGGATGCTGAAGAACAGATTTTGGGTGGTGGATTTTAGGCCAGGACAAACGACACTCGCCGGAATGCTGTAGCTGGACGATGTCTGATAAGACTTAAGAGCCGGGATAAAGTACCTAACTACGAAACGTTACAAAAGGAATATGTGAATCAATGTGTGATCAATGATCATGAATCTGATCCCACTTTCCTGTTCCGAGCCGTCGGTACCCCCTCTAAGAGTTTCGCAGTACATTATTGAGCTGATCGCACTCAGACCAGCACAACCGCCTCTTTGCAGAGATCTTCCACGCTCGTAGGAAAATCGTCCTTCCGTTGATGACCTGCCAATGATTTCCTGTGGACACCGTACTTTCCGGTCGGCGCAGTTGCAGCCTGAAGCTTCCGGTGCACTATCTCGGACCTCTGGCTATTCGCGTGCGGCATGGTACAGGAAAACGATGGAGTCGGAATTGGGATTGTAGAATGTAAACTATGCTGTTTTTTATTTGCACTTATGGAATTTATTCTACGGGATATCTTTGCGTTTAGTGGATCCACGCCAGTTTCTTGCGACCCACTAAAAAAAAAAAACTAGTTCAAGATGGATACCCAGTGGTCGAGGCCTAGGTATGTGCTGAATGTTTTCTGTACCCGTTTCCTCATGACCAGCTGGCACCCTAACTTATGAATCAATATGTGATCATGAATCTGATCCCACTTTCCTGTTCCGGGCTGTCGCCTGTCGGTGCCCCGCCCCCCCCCCCCCCCAGCCCAGATAACCAGTGGAGTGTCAGCTGCAGCAAAAGCACGCGCCCCTCCAGAGTAACCGTTTTAGTAGCTGGGCGGCCTGACCCGCGGAGCTGCTCCGGTCCCAGCGAGATGGTTTCGGCCACAGCAGTCATTGGAAGCACACAGTCATAAATCGAAGCTCAGCTCAATGTCCCCCCTCTCTCTATCTCTCTCTCTCCCTCTCTCTCTCTCGCTCTCTTGCTCCTCTATCTATCTATTAGCTTCACATCCCACGAGCATGCAATGGTATCAATAGGCCGAAAAGGTTCGAGCCCAGCAGCGAAAGGTTGGACACAAGATCGGGATTCGACTTGGAGGTCGTCCGCCGTCACCCACTGGCAAGTGGCGACTGGCGGATCCAGAAAGGCGGTCTCGAACGCTGCAAGGAGGGGGGGGGGGTGAGCAGCATGCCCAAGCCCAAAAAAAAACTCAAAATAAGAAACTCGTTGTCTTTTCATTCATATGGCGGCGGAACGGGGAGGGCACCGGGGCACCTTGGCATTTTAACATTAGCCCTATGGGCGTTGCATGGAAAGAATGGGGCCAAAAGTCGGCAGTGCCCCCCCCCCCCTTAATTGAAGGTGTTCCGCCGCCACTGTTTTCATTCCTAATGCATTGCTAAACAGCTTAAAACAAACTTTTACTAGCATGTAGTTGCTTATTTTCCCGTCTGTTATTCAAAACTGGTTAATTATCGCCGATTTCGGGCGCTGCAGGGGGTTGCATTTGTCCTGATTGCCCCCCACCCTCGGTCCGTCAGTGCCGTCTTCAAACACAAATTTAAAGAGAACGATTATAGGGATCGACATGACATAGAACAGAACCGTCTAATGGCTTATTATGTGCTGTGAGGGCGTCTGTGGAAAATCATCGACAACATTATTGTCAGGTCGGATACACCTATCGAATGTTAAACCCCAACCCCCGACCCCACCCTGCTTGGCCGTTGCAGGGAAGGGGGGGGGGGGTACCCGGTGTACCAGCTGACACGAAGGTCCAGTCCGGCGTACGGTGGTTCGCCCACCTGCCCCACAATCATAGATGTCGCCACCGGGCCGGCGTTTGCGAACGCCACGACAGCACTGCCCGATCGGGACATTTTCATGAACAATAGGTGAGCATTGCTTCATATGCTCAATTTAGTGCTAAATTTGTGAGTTTTTGTCGTTGGTGTTGAATTGGTGATGACTGACAGCCTGCCACTGACCGCCCCGCGGAGCGGCCGGCGACGTCACGTGACCACCGGGCCCCATTCAGCGATGACCATATATGGTAAACTGGATTCTGATTGGCTGACAGCAGCACGCGGCCGGCCGGCCGGATAGGCGTTGGAGGCGCGGTGTAAAGTCGGTAAGGATTTTCTGGGGGCCCACTCGCTGGTGAAGGAGAGCCCGTGGAGGTGCCGTCTGTGATACTCTTGGTGAGTGTTGATTTTTCTTTCGGTGGAGGAAGCTTGAGCGTAAGAAACGCGTGAAATCATTCATTTCTCAACGCCGGCTTATGTCAAATTTTTGTGTTTCTCTTGCCGGCTTTTTCTTTTTTGGCTGATTTTGGTGAAGTTTGTGGGTGATAAATGTTTTCCACAATAGGCTATTTGCATGTTGTCTGTGTCACAGTTGCTTATCTAGTGCGTATAGCTAGCGGCAATTCAGTGCGAGGAGTGTAAAAGGATCCACGGTAAAAGGATCGAAAGCTGTGGCCTGTGAAGCACGTGAGTGTCATTCCGCTTGAAGCACAAATCATTGGTCCCAGGGGTCCTGGTGATACTACAAAGTGCAATGGTCGCAGTGGGCGGCTCGCGGTGGTCCCCTTCTATATCTTCGATAACTCCTGGCCTGTTCCAGTCAGGTCATGGTGTCGACTTTCTCGAAATATCGTAGTTAAACGTGATTTAAATTTTGTCAAATATGTATGCATTTTAAGGTTTGCACATTTTAGAAGTACCTCATGTTAGCTCTTCCAGCCCAGTTATATGTCATTTTTCGACAATTGTGAAAGGTATTCATTTTTTCTTTATATGGCTAATGGCACTGAAACAGCATGCTGCTTTTTTGCATTTAACTAACTGAGAGTAGGGCAGTATCCCCAAGCAGCTGGATGAGACATAATTCAGTATTGATCGTCTTTGATGGCCGTGCCACGCCCTTGGAACAGGCCGGCTGGCATTGGAGACGCCTCACCGGAAGTCAAAATTATCGCCCCCCCCCCCCTCCTCAAGGGGTCGCCTCCGTCCGCCAAATTCAAACCCTCAGTCAGCCGTTGGTGGCGATAGGGCTGCCGTT